GGTAACGCACACAAACTAGTTACAGTTGGATTTTGCGTGACAAAAAATAACGTCAACAGGATTCGAACCCGATACTTTTACAGATATAACGTTACGTCTCGTATTGGACAATTTCATATCCTGGCCCACATCTGTCAAGGAATAAAAAATGTATCCGTTTTAACGTATACGATTAGAAAAAGTGCAGTTTAGTTAATTGCATTCTAAATTTAAACATGCAATTATTATACGAATTATCTTTTTAAATGTTTTTTTTTTTATTAACACTATTCTAAGTAGAGATGGGAATCCGATATCTATATATTGAAATCTGGACCTTGATTGCATATTACTTTACACATTGCTATATTGCTCTTACTAGTCATATATATTTATTACGAGCGGGTATTTTTTTAATATTTTATATAGGATAAGCGATTGTTAATATATCTGTTATTGGGCGAAGATATTTAAAGATATTACCACCCTTAATTGTAGGCTATTTAAACCAATGCTAACTTTTGACATCAATTACACTTAACTTTTTCTATAGTTTTTTAATACCTGTTAGTAAAAATAACTTATACCTGTTATAGTCATAAAATAAGATTTAACTCCTAATGATCCTGCTTGTATGCAAGTCAAATAGAAAGTTTCAAGAACTGGCCACTTACAATTATTATTGGTACTCGAACAAAAAAGTATTTATGACTAGTATATATTTACATACTTTTTGAATGTAGAACAAAGTTCATTTGCATCGTAGATTTTTTTTTAATTTTTCACAGGTTACACAGATAATTACTAGAACATACAATCATTGTGGGGACTCAAAAAAAAATTACTGTCTCCGAAAATATAATTTTTTGAATATAGAAAAAAGTTGTTTTAAATTATAGATTTTTTCCTATTAATTTCGGACACTTTCAGAACGACTTATGTATCAAAGGAGATATCTCCTTTATACGTCAATAGGCTACATAGACACAGCATTTTGCTGCGGCGGGATTGTTAGTAATGAGGTCTAATAGTCCCGTTGCTAGCAATTGACCCTCTCAGGTCGACCTCCACGTGGTTCCCCCTGGAAACAATCATGGTTATTTCTTGTCGAATTCATCATGATAGGCCAACTGACCTGCATTCATTCTCACCTATCATCTTCCACTGGTACCTCGTCGGTGTATACCGATAGCGCGGGCGGGGATACCATTCCATTTTCATCTATTAAAAAAAAACATTTTGCTTATTAGGCCTAATTCGGCATATTCTTGTTATGCTTGCAGTGTCCACTAAAAGACTTTTATTGCATAAAACTGATATGGTTATAATTAAGAGAAGAATATTAATTCCCTTATTTATAAATACATCAAAGCTTATATAATTTTATTTTAGCTAATGAACTGTTTTTTCTTTCTTTTATATTGAATTCCCAATTTGAGAAAAAGTGACATAACAGTATAATAGATTAAAGTAGATTCGTTTAAGGTTTTTTTTATAATTAAAGGGTATTAGTTTATAACTCTGACTACTTTCTGACTCTGACTACTGACTGAGTTTATCTTCATGTCCTACAGCCTCAATGGTCGCGTACTGCGCGGTTTCAGAGATGTTTCCTCCCACGAACACTCAGGTAGTCGAATGAGCTGCCTGCCGAGATTTTCCCAAGAGACTACAGCATGGGGTTCTTCAAAAGGGGGGTAAAGAGATTCCTTCAGGGTCGGCAACGCACACGTAATACCTTTGGTATTGCAGGTGTTCATAGGCTACGGTAACCACTAACCATCAGGTGAGCCGTATGCTTGTTTTCCACCTCAGTGGTGTAAAAAAAAATACTTTATGCGATTCTTGATTTATGGGATGTTTGTGCAATTTTTGTCATTTCTGATAATAGTTTCTGTAATCTGAGATGTTTAAAATTGAAAATGGGATATGATCATGAATTTTTTATTGTGCACCACAACAAGTCAACTACAATATAATGAAAAAAGAAAATAATTTCTAATCCATTTCTTTCATACATCACTGAGTTGTATGTCGAATAGCATTTTGCAGTTTTCACTATTGAACAACACTGAAAAACTGAGTAAAGAGTTAAAAATAAAAGAAATGATAAAGGTAAGAACTCTAATTTTACACTTTTAAGTAATAAATTAAATGTTTACAGTGTAAACAATGCATTGAAATTTCCTATGAGATTAAACTACGATTATTAACCCTTTAACAGCGTTTTCCACGCCGCCTAGCGTCGAGTAGCGTAGTGAAAACTCATACGTACAACCCCCCATCCCTTTCCACACACCCACACACCCTACACATGAACGGGATAGCCGTATATCGGTCATTATATCCGAGAGTTTCCACGGGGGAAAACGGACAACCCTTCAGCCGTCTCTGTTTTCGGCTATTATGTCTATTGATTAAATAAGGACAGAGATATTTTCAAGGTTGTATTTTGAGATGGACACGCGATGACCAAGTAGTTTTCATGAGTGACCTATCCGAGTATGTTTGAGTACTGAATGTACTATAGGGCGCATTCACATAGGGGATTTATAAAAAAAAATGCACACAACTTTTTTTTCTTTTAATTCAAGTTGTAAATTTTGAAAAAATATTATGTTACTAGTAACCAACTCATATCTGTTATTAATAATAGGTATGCATAAATAAAAAAAAATCTATTTTATGTAAATAAAACAATTATTTGTACTGAACTATTACTTGTGTTATTCTTATTGACTTACCAATATAATTAAGATATAACGTAAGTATAAATCTTAGTCTCTTCTAAATTAACACATAATATTATTTTTATTATATTAAAAGTTCAAAAACTATGAAGGTTTATACCATTTAGGTTTATTTAAAGTAACTTGTAAAATTTGTTAATGAAAAAAATTACATAAAACATACAATGGAATACAAATATGCAATACGTGAAATATTTCATCTTATAAAGATACAATTTTATTTATTTAAAAATTGAAATTTAAAAATAATTTCCATCTATACTTTTAATTTAGTATTATATTAGAAAGAAAAACGCATAACAAATAAGTAATAAGTACAAAAAAGGTCACGATAATAAAATGTTAATCTTTTAATTATTAGAATACAACACTACTTTAACGTTTATTATACTGTCATAAAAAAAAAGAAAATATCATTAAAACATTTAATAGAAATTACAAAAAAAAAAGTAGTCCCGTAACAGTCAATTGTGGAACAATTTGAAATTTCAATAATCGAACGCGGCATTTGCGAAGTTCCCGTTCGAGACTGTTCAGAAACAATTATGAAAAAGTTCTTTTCGTCGCCCGTTCTCGCGCCCGTTAAGTCTCGACTGACACTCATAAAACTTATTAAAGTCAAGGACCGACCAAGATAAGTTCTTCGTAGCGCTTTAAGTAAAATAACGCTGGGAAATTTTTTTTCTCGGGAAGTACCGCGAGTGAGAGTGAAGGATCTAGTGCCGTTTTAGTATTCGGCTACGTGTTGCGTTTATAGATGTAAGTTTTGGAGGCTTTCTGTGTTTATGCAATTAATATTATAATTTAGCTAGTTAGAATGAATTATTAAAATTATTTTATAAAAATATTTTAAAAGTGTAGTATGGTTATAAATGTAAAAACCAATATAAGGCATCTCATAGTAACAAATTGAATTAATATGGGAGGACTATAATTGTTTGTTATATGAATAGTGCCTTATAAAAAGTTGCCAATAATAACAATTTCACCTTGTTATACTAAATTTAAACTTATTTTGATATTTAAGTAGCGTCATGTATTGTAATTGTACTTTATTATATATATTTAAAATTTTAACTAACTTATATTTAAAATAAGTCTATAATTTAAATAAATCAATACATGGAAATCAAATAATAATAAAAGAAAAATTATTTGACTGTAACTACGTGGTGCTACGGTGAGCGTAGCTTGCGTTGCGTAGCATCTAGCTACGAAAAAGCACTATTAATTTCAGAAATCAAAATTAAATTAATTCTGTTGATAATAACATTCATTGATTTAAATTTGTTATTAATGATAATTAAAAAATCAATAATATAAAAGTAATGTATAGTTTTATATTTAATCTAGTTACCATTAGTTCAAAATACAGTGATATTCATTTCCAGCTATAAAAGCGTGAAACTAATTGAACATTACGACAAATAGATATTTTAATATGTGTTCCTTAAAAAGTAAAGTGACCGCGCGTTGGTCCATTCAATTAAAAATTCCATCTCCTAATCGAGTCATGAAATATGCAGGCAAATATTATCCCTTTTCTTTTGTAGCGCTGCATCTTCGCCCCACCCGCGCACGCACACTAACGCACGGCACTTATGACTTATGGCTGTCTCTGTCTCCCAAGCGCGGGCGGAGGCGCGCCACGCGAGCCACCGTCTCTCTCGAGCTGCCGAGGCGGCGGCGACCGCGAGTAACCCCTGGCCACTTCGTGCGGACTCGCACGCGCCGTCGTCGGCCGTCCGAGCGAGACGGAGCATCTCGTGGACATGCGGAGGCCGCGGAGCCCTCGCGTAAAGGGACACAGGACAGACGCTCTCGGACATCGGGCGAGAGCGGGCGGCCGGCCGCGCACCTGCCTCGCACCGCTCTGCACGCGCGACGTGCTCGATCGCGAGACGCTGTATCGTAAACACGAAACATTTTCAACACGACGAAAATTATTCAAAAATCCTATTGACATTAAAATTTATTGACAATTAAATACTAACAGTAAGTTAGGACAATTTTAACAAATTTCTCGTAACGGACAGTGATTATATTTTTATTTTTTGTTGGAAAGACTAAAAAAGTGAGGAAGTTTTACAATCGAAGATATTATATCAACAGTGACCAGATGTTGTTTGTCTAATCGGAAGATCGCCACTAGGTGTGGATAGATAAGATACGGTGCTGAGACGGCCGCACGACTGCAGATAACGCTACGTATGACCAATAAATTTTGGCAAGTGATCGAACCGCTGACTCATAATAAAATGCCTATACAAAGCAATATGAAAAGAAAAAAATAGTTAATGCAAATTCGGAGATTAATTTAGCAGCAATGAAGGAGTTAAGAAGATGACTAAAATGTTTGTTGATAATGTTTACCGTCGGACTCTTAGGGACGGAACTGTGATGAACCTCTCGCTTTTATCAAAAACGTTTTAAAAACTAACGATAAGCCGCTGGCCCGCCGGCGGTACGTGTGAAGTGAATTAGAACTGTCGCCTGATAACCAACGTATTAAGATAAATAATTCTGACTATAAAGAAGTTGTTGAAGATCTAAACATAGGTGACCAAATCAAGATGAGAATTAAGATGCCAGCTGTACGCATCGCGCAAGGTAAGTTTGCAGAATTTTGTAATGCAGAATTTTTTAAACGAATACTGCCTACCAATAAATTTTAATACACCTGTTGCAAAATTTAATATAACAGCAAAATCTTTTATTTCATCCTGTGAAAATAATTCCTATAAAATTAAATTTATAACTCGACAACTTAATTGAAGACATACTGCAAAATAATAATTATTTTATATAAAATAAAATATTATAAAAATTGTGGCTGTTTGTGTGAATTTTAAGTTTTTTTCTTTTTTTTTTTGCACGATCTGTAAAATATCATCTAAATAAACAAACGCAACAGCACTATCCCATCTGTGCCGGCGAGACTCTATTCATGCAAACGAGCTACTTAATACCCGAGCTTGTGTCAATATTGACTCGAGACCGTGGTCATCTTGTCCAAAAGGGATGGGATATTATGCGATAGCCTCTCGGAGTAGCCGCTTTAAAAAAATCACAACAATCTTGACATCTTCAAAACCTTTTTTTTTTTAATTTTACAAAATAACAATGTGCTAATAAGAAATGACTGTTCATAAAAAAAAAAAACTCATGAAAGAAATAAAATAACAGATAAAGCTTTATTACCCAATCACGTTTGTAACAATGATAAAACAAAAACGGTCATTGGCGAAATGACCAATAAAGAAGACAATGTAAATATCAACAAAACAGTTTGACGTGATTCTATATAATTGTTGCATTGTTTGTCATATTTCTTGGATTTGGAGGTTTTTAGGTTAATCAGATTAGCTGCAGGTAATTATTAACCGATCCAACAATTAGTCGCCTAGAGTAACCTTAGTCTAAGGTCTGAGGTCAGTAGTAATAAAATTACAATGTAAGAAACTGTGAAGGAATATTAATTTATTAACTGCAGAGATCACATAATTTTACAACTTGGCTTTATAAGCGCAACATTGTGTATATATGACGACAATTATAATAGCGATATACAATAATTTTCCAGTGTCTAAAGTCAAACCATTTGCACTGAAGATTGTTTTAGAATTAAATGCTGTAGGCTATAATTATTTTAAAATAGCAATTTGATCTGCATATTTATAAATAAAAAAAAAAAAACACTTATTCAAAGATCAAACAATAATTATTGCAGTAATACCTAGAAAGATCCTAATAATAATTAAAAATATCGAAAACACGAAGAATTGTGACTTTATTATAATTAACAAATATTTAAATGATTCACTAATTTGACACCATTAAATTACACAAGTGTTGAATCAATTTGAATAAAAGATAGACCATGTCTTAGATTGATACAAGATTTTAATCAGATTAGATAATAAGTTCCCTTGATATAATTTATAATCGATATCTGTGCATATCGAGTCGTTGTTTTTCGCTACTGTTTAATTAAATTAATGACAATCCAAAAACGTTTTCATTATGGGCGATTTGGATAATCAGTAATTCCTTGACATCGACTATATAATTTTTTATACTCATTGACAGTCTAAGGAATATAAAAAATTTCATAATACATTAGGTATCACATTGTCTCTTTCTTTAAATACATATAATTCAATATCTTGCAATACCACTTTTAATGGTAATTTCTCTCCAGATCAAATTAATATGAAATTAAAATAAAGACTAGTCTTATTGCAATATTGCTTCAACAGAACTTTATTATAAAGTTCCTAACTCAATAAATATTTAAGTAAAAAAAAAAAAAAAATGTGTAATTACAAAAATATAAGAAAGTGAGATATTAATTCTATTCTCAATAATAAACCAGAGAAAAATGACAGCCAAATATAAGCCAATTATTATTCAAAAACCTCATATAAATCAATCGTTTAATTATCTAATGAGAAAAAATTACAAGTGATGTAAATATGACGAATTACGTTGAATTGAAACTTTTATGAATATCAATCAAGTGTTTGAGGTAAAATTTTAATGCCCTATATATGTGAACAAAAAAATACAGATCACATACGAGTTAGTAAACATTTGGAAACTGTTATGATACATGCCTTTGCCATTGTCTCTACACATTCTGTTCTTTCTCACTGCCCAACGGTTAGATTTAATTTAATTACTCATTATAAACAAAAGTGAGGTACCAAAAGCGTTCTCATACGTTACTGCAACTTTTGAATAGAATGGTCAGATTGGACTGAAGCTGTGAAATTGTATGGGAAAGTACGTACTATATTGTTGCGAATAGTCACTTTCAAAATTTCGTTGTTCTCTCATTTATTTTAAGATAATACAACGATGTCAACTATTCTATTTCATTTACTAATTCCTCACCTATTTATTTGCTTAGGAGTGACTTAACAATGGTCAGATTAATATAACCTTCGTCTAACGTATTCTTTTGTAAATAGCTCCTATGTAAACTTTACGTGGAATAAATGTAAGTATATGAGTCAACTCACGTGCATGGATTCTTCTCAAAACTAACGTTATAGCACACATGGGCAATTAGTCCAAGTTGACCGGAGGCGACGGGCTAATCTTATTGGTCGGTGGCCATGTGACGTCATCAACGTCTGCGGCCGTCGCGCCCGATTGGTCGACACGCGTCATTTCGTCGATGACATGTTTGTTCTTATTTTGAACGCAAGAAATTTGAAGTACTCCGTTTTGTTCGACTACACAATAGAGCCCCTCGGTACATGAAATTGGACTCTTTCATAAGCTAGCCGTAATATAAGTACAAGTTGTTTCACTAGATCGACCATAAATTTGCTTAAATTTTGAACAAAACGCGTACCTATATCATTGTAACTTCAAAACTAATCAAAACACGAATGGGAAAACGTTAACAGCAAATGGCACAGCGTTGGTGATTAAAAATTAAAATGGTCGGCATAAAGTTAGTAACGCGATCGCAATTACATTTAAGGACAGAGAACCTTTCGACTTTTTTAAACCCTCCTCAAAAGTGTGAATTAGGGAATCGTAAAATTACTTTATCAGGTGGGAAGCCAGACGGGGGATACTGCGGCCGTAACTTTTGAACAAACTTTTAAAAATCTAAGTTAACTTTTTCACGGTCTCCCCGCTTCTGAGCTAAATAAAACATTAGCGAGCGCCGCAGTTCTGTTTTTGCTTTCCAGTGTTCCTCACTAATTGATGTGGGTTTTTGCATCGTCTGTCACTTTTTAATTGAAACTGGCAAAACTATGTAATCCTTACTTATTATTACAAATGTGAAAATGAGTTTGTTTATTTGTTTTTTACCTTTTAGCGTTTTAACGGTTTAATCCAATCACTATGAAATTTGGTTTGTCCCCGTTGGTAAACATATTCCGATTATATAGACGAAGTCATAGCTAAATAGTGTGAAAGCTAAATAGATGATTGAATAATATTACAAGAAAATAAAAATGATAATGAGATGTAGGTATATTTTTATTTCGGAAGTATCATAACTTATTATTATTGATTACATTTATTAATTTGATTTAAATTCAATAAGAAATAAGGATAAAATTATTTGTTTGTACATAAGGTACACAGACAATTATAAAAATATATATAAAGAAACAAGTGATAAAATGTAAGACAATAATGTTTACTTTGAATCAGCATAAACTACTGTAGTATATCGCTGTATTGTAGTAGCGCTAATATTACGCAAAATTTCATATTATTGCGACTTTGTGGATACAAGTAATTAAAAAGGTGCATCGTTATTATTTGCCGTGTGGCTTAGAATGGGCCACACTTTTTTGTCCCGTAGGTATAGTAAGAGGCAACTAGAGGAATTTAATGGTCTAGAGATGGGCAGCGACGTCCAGCTTAAAACATCACCAAAGCCTAACTGTGGTTGTCAAACTACTCTGCCAACTATTGACAACACCTCCCTTATGGAGGAGGCCTATGTCCAGCAGTAGACAGTTAACAACTGATATAATATTAATCGTTATTATTTACAAAGTTAAAGAAATTGTAGTGACAAGTGTATCTGATCTAATTACTTCCATATGAATAAAAAATTTACAAAAGTTATACTTGACGAAGTTATTGTAAGAAGGCATTATTTTTAGTAATTAAAGAAGATTTTCTAACCCAAAAACTAATAGTCGAATTACTATTCCTATACAAAATAAAACTATTATTATCTCTTTCTCGATGACTTTCATCATCATATCAGTTAATAATAATTGTCCACTATTGAACATAGGTCTCCCTCATAAGACGACTCGACAACTGCAGTTAGAATTTGGTGATGTTTTAAAAGGAACGCTGCTGTCTATCCCTCGACCATTAGATTTCCCTCTGTTGCCTCTTACTCGTCTCGATGTCTTTACTAAAGCATATTTATTACATTCATCCGATTAACCCACAACAATAACCTGACTACTATTAACTATTTGGTAGACATTTATAGCGATTGACTTTAAAATCGTTTGGATGTCACATAAAAGAGCCGCATGTCAATTTAAACATTGCGCCTATATCTTGTCCGTTGCCGCTTAGCGATTCAATATGTCTTCATTAAGCGAATATCGAAGCATCGCATTTACAAGCGGAACCTTCCATCTTGATCCTTGGTCAGGAATTATTGCCACATCAAACATCCTCCTCGTTCAAGTTGAACTAGATGACTATAAGAAATAGTTATTTTGTAAATAACTGTTCATCGATATTAAAAACTAAATAGTTATTAATAGATATATTGATATTATGTACAAACATGTTTGTAATATTTTACATATTTATATTATCGTTGTAATCTTAACTGATTTCGCCCTTAGATATTATCTAAGTTTTATGCATATTTATGATTTTTTTGTGCAATATTCCCGACAAGCAGATAAAATCGGGAGAAAATAATACTTCGTAAAACAATCATGACGTATAGAGAACCCAAGTCTTATATCCAAACGTAAAGTAAAGAAGAGCACCAATAAATTGAATTCGTCAACAGAACATATAACTTAAACAGTTGACATCTTGACTTCTTTGGAGTAGAACAAATAAAAGAATGAGAAAGATACATCCAATAATTTATT